ACCAAAACTGGATGCAGTATTCCACGTGTGGCATTATATTACCAAGGCATTATAAAGTGGTATTAACGCTTCATGTAATCTTGATTCTATCCCTCTGTTTATGCAGCCTAGAACTGAGTTGGCTTTTTTGGCAGCTGCAACACAATGCTGACTCCTATTTAAGTGATTGTCCACTAGGACTCCAAGATCCCTCTCACAGTCACCACTATTGAGTCAGATGCCACCTATCCTGTACCTGTGCATTTTGTTTTTCTTGCCTAAATGTAGAACCTTACTTTTTTCACCATTAAATTTCATTTTGTTAGATAGTGCCTAATGTTCAAGTCTGTCAAGATCTTCCTGTATCTTAAGCCTATCTTCTGGAGCGTTGGCTATTCCTGCTAGCTTGGTGTCATCTGCAAATTTGATGAGTTCCCCATCTATCCCTCATCTGAAACTTACTGCGATTCTTCTCTTTCCTTCTATCTTCCCCAGGATCATACAGCCTTGTCCAGATTGTTGGGTTTTCTCAGAATTTGAGCCTAGTCACTTGTGCCTCTGGGTTGATTCAGTTTGATTTTCCTGACTGTATCCACGGTTCTCTCAGGAGTCTTCTCCAACATCAAAATTCAAAAGCATCAATACTCTCTCTGTCCCACGTCTTCAAAAATCCACAAAGGAGACTTTATCCCTTACTGTAGTGTTGTTTTAATTAACAGAGGACAGCATTTCCAGATTGCATTCGTTACTTGAAGGGATGCAAATTCGTTACATTCGTTACTTGAAGGGATGCAAATTATCATATTTAAATGTTATCCTGCAGCATGCATAGATCTCTTAGATCAGAGGTTTTATTGCAACCAAGGAATGGTGCTATAGCTGTTTGTCTTCCTACATACCCAGATGCTTATATATATATTTAACTAGCATGTTAAAATAGGACTCAAGATAAGAAGAGTAAAAGAATCAAAGCAGAGGCATTAATTGCAAAATGGACCATCTATCCATGATCAGGCAAACTATAGAGATTGGAAGCCACCAGGAAAGAAAATCAAGACAAGGTTGAATGAATCTTCCAATACAATTAAAATAAGAACATAGCATAGTTTAATGTGAAAACCAAGCCCATGGAGTATGCTAATCTAGCCAGATTACCATTTTATTTGAGTGTTACGTGTGAGCAAAATAAACCTGCTTTTCTCTGCTTGTCAACCTCTGGAAAACCATAAATCTGGAAACTACTGTGGCAAAATATGTGAAGGGAACATGACAAAATCATGAAGGAGTGCCAAACAGCAGAAAAGGATCACTGCAAAGAAGACAAGCTTTCTTAGTTCTGAGTAAGATCTACAAATGTTAATATAAAAAGAGATTGATCATGATCAATAATTGGTTATCCAGACTAATTTTCTAACATACATGTAAGAAAAGCATATCATAAAAATATAGAGTTGGAGGAACTACAAGTATCATCTAATCCAGTGTTTTTCAATTTTGGCAACCCATTCTGGCTAGGGGAATTCTGGGAGTTGAAGTCCACGCATCTTAAAGTTGCAAGAGTGAGAAACACTGATGTAGTACAACACTCTATAATGCACAGGAAACCAATTATACCATCCATGAGAGGTGGCTGTTCAGACTCTACTAAAATACTCCAACAGATCAAGAACCCACAACCTCCATAACCTGACCATCCCGCAAAAAGTGTTAAGGTAACAACTTAATCACACCCCAATAAACAACTAAAAAGCTGTTATGGTTAGCCAGCAGCAGGTGCGGCCAGTTGAGGAGAGTGAGGACTCAGATGAGGGGCCAGGACCATTAGGGAGTGGACTGCTGCCTTCACAGATTGTGGGGGCTGGCCACAGCGATGAGGTGGTTCCCGAGGAGCCTGTGCCAAGTGCGCGTGCGCGCAGGATTGCTCGTAGGAAAGAGCAGCTGCAACAGCATGGGCAACTCGGGAGTAAGGCTGCAAGGTAATGGCCCCTCCTTCAAGAAGATAAAAGCCAGCTGTGAAACGAACGTACTTTGCAGAAGGCAAAGACGTTTTGAAACTCCAGCCTTGTGGACATTCCAGTGTCCTGAGTTTGTATTTGAAGATTCTTGTATTGCAAATTATTTCTTGTCTGTTATCTTTTGGCAGTCTCACACAGTTTGGCAAGGCTTGTGCTTATCACAGCTAATTATTTGTAAAAGCACTACAGGGTTTCTGTTTCCTTTTGAGCTGTGTTTGATTTGTTGGAAAAGGGCGTGGGTCAGAAAAAAAGCAACCAGGCACCATATAAATGCCACTCAAGAGAATAGCCCAAAGCACACACTCTGCTAGAGAGAAGTTCCCTGAGGATGGGCTCCACCACGAATCCGAAAGCTTGGAAGACAACCTCTAGTCCAGGTGACCAACCTAGATTGGATCCTGAAACATTATTGTGACACGTATATTCACCTTCATGTCCCCAGAAAGTTTTTCCTTATATTTAAACACAATATAGGCAGCTGCAGCCTGCACTCATTATTTCTGGGTCCACTGTAGCCATGCAGAACAGTTCTTGGCTGTCCTGTCCAGAGCTTATCTTTATCTACCTAAGCACAACTATCATGTCTGCCCGTAGCTCCTTTTCAAATTAAAACATTCCAAAATTCTTCCAGCAGGTCCTTCGTAGACCATGTCCTCAAGTCCCTGAATTGCCTTTGTCACCTCTTTTGAACTGCTTCGGTCAAGTGTCCTTCTGGAAATGGGATGCCCAGAAATACACATAAAGTATGGCTGAAGTAAGGAAACCAATTAACAAAGATGATTAGGGGACTCGAGACTAAAACATATAAAGAACAGTTGCTGGGATTGGATCTGTCTAGTTTGATGAAAAGAAGGACTCGGAGGGACATGATAGCAGTGTTCCAATATCTCAGGGGCTGCCACAAAGAAGAGGAAGTCAAGCTCCAAAGCACCAGAAGGCAGGACAAGAAGCAATGGGTGGAAAATAATCAAGGGGAGAAGCAACTTAGAACTAAGGAGAAATTGCCTGACAGTTAGAACAATGAATCAGTGAATCATTGAACCTCCAGAAGTTCCAATACTGGAAGTTTTAAAGAAAAGACTGGATAATCATTTGTCTGAAATGTATAAGTTTTCCTCCTAAGCAGGGGTTTGGACTAGAGGATCTCCAAGGTCCCTTCCAACTCTGTTATTCTATTCTAACTAAGGGAGCCAGTTAGAACCATGATGGATCTTTTAGAAATTTGGGCTACTCCTTTCTAAGAAAGCAGGGAGCTTCTGAAGAGCAGTCAAGGACATTTAAAGGGGAATGCAGTGTGAAGAAGAACCACAAACGAGCAAGAACACAACACACATCCAAACAATATTTGTTGTTGCACTTACTTGTTTCATGTTTTCAGCTAAGAATACGAAATAAACACTACAGAAGCCCAACTGGGTAACCACAAGGAAGAAGTCAACGACATATCTAGGGAACATAATGAGAGGAAAAATAAGTTTTTAAGTTAGTTATGGCCTTGGCAATGCAGAAAAGCAACAATCATGAAAATACATAAAATGCATCAGAAGGGGTGCCCTGCAAAGATAATTCTGTGAAACAGTGCTCACTAATTTGCTTTAATGCCATCTACTGGCTTCTATCTCCAGTGGATTAGTTAATGCTCTTTTTAAAATGGCCTCATTTCACCCTGCCTTGGATTAGCAGATTCGTGCAAGCTATTCTACCCAAATTGAAATGGTTTGCATTTTGAAGGCAGTATTTTAATTGGCATTTTGATTTTCTGCAGCTAATGGCACTGGAGTGTTTTCAGAACATTTTTAGCCTGTTTATTCCTTTATGTAGAAAGAATGCAATTGCTTTTTTTCTCAGATTTTGGATATATCCTACTAGATTAAATAAAGAGAAATATGGGGGTAATTGTATTTTCCAACTATATGCTCTTCAAAGACCTTTAAAATCTTGACAAGCAAATAATGTTCAGTGTGACATGCTGGTTATGATTAACCTTCTCTCAAAATTATTAGCAGTCATCTTCTGAATATTTTTTCCAGATAGGGATATACTGATAGTCCTCAGGAGCGGTGCGGTTGCCTAGAGGTGGAGCTCTCACCTCACAATTAGGAGGCTGTGAGTTCGATCCCAGGTAGAGGCAGATATTTCTCTCTCTGGGCAACACTGAGAATATATCTGCTGAACAAAACTCGGCATTGGCGACAGGAAGGGCATCTGGCCATGAAAACATTCTGCTTGCCCGGTTCAGTTGTCCAGACTCCGCCCCGCAAAGGATTATGGGATCGTTAAATGAACATGATGATATACTGATAGTCCTCAACTTACAATTGTAATGGAACCTGCCCATCATGGTTGTAAAATGTATCAGTCACATGACCTTCAAATCCAGGTCATTAAGTAGCCCCCAAGTAGGTCTATCTTAACTATGAGTGGTTGTAAGGTGAGGACTACCTACATCTCCTTTTCTTGGTAAGCAGGTTATAAACCATTTTGAACTTATAGCATTCAATGGGGTATCAGGGTATCAACTAGAATTATTTGGTCACATCTTGCCTGAACCAGAACAGCACTTTCTTGCAACTGAGGATTACACTTAAAAAAAAATCCTACTCAAGATCTGTTGAATGGAGGAGGGGATTGGCGGATGGCACCATACAGATTTAACAGATTAACAGAATTGGAAGGGACTTTGTTGGTCTTCTAGTCCAACCCTCTGCCCAAGCAGGAGACCCTACACTTCTCTGCACATTTTTCCAGAGTCTCAATATCTTGTTTATAATATAGAGACCAAAACTGGGAGCAGTATTCTAGGTGTGGTCTTACTAAAGCTTTACAGAGTGCTATTACTACCTCACTTGATCTTGGTTGTATCCCTCTGTTAATGCAATTTAGAACTGCATTGCTGCCACCGCACACTGTTGGCTCACATTTAATTGGTTGTCCACCATAATTTCACTAGGGTGGAAGAGCCAAAACTTTGCAGGGTTGAGATGATTTAAGTAGCAAAACAGATTTGCATCCTTGGCAAAATTCTTGAGAGGTGCAATGGGGCACTGGGATGCTGAACATGGATTGTGGGTTGCCAACTCTAAGCTAAGCCATCATGCATATAATCAACTTTGGCTCGCCATGATATGTAATTTTAAATTTGTGAACTATGAGTATAGAAGTGGTGAGATTAGTGCTTTCCTTAATCAACAAACTTAAACAACAAGCCAAGGATTAAACTAAGACAAATAATGTCTGGTCTTCCCTTTCCCTTGCATTCCAGCATGTAATGATTAAGGCAGTTTAAATATATCCAACTGGCAATGCTTCTGAGGATCACATCACTTCTGCTGGTTCTTAATCAGTTTGAATTCATAACTTACTGATTGGGTTTATATACAGCCATAGGCCGTACTGTTCTGATCAAGGCTTCCTGAGACCGTAATTAAGCACACGCTTAGTCCAAACAACTCTTGTTTTATTTCAACGCTGAGAATTATGCTCATTCCCAGCCCGTAATGAGTCTCAAACAGTCCCTCGAGATAAGCACCCACCTTTCTCTCATTTGAATTGCTGCCAACAACAAAAGTGCCAAATGAACTATAAAAAAACCAACTGAAGTACAAAGTCCATACAGAGCTTCAAGGTTTAATCTGAACAGAGTGAACGACCTTGCTTCCTGCAAAGGTTTCTCTACCTTTGCATTAGCTTTATACCTTAGGGGAGGGGCAATCACCTCCAAGCTTTACTCCTGAGTCGCCCCTTTTGTCTCAACTGCTCTTGCCTTCTAGCAGCTCTGCGCATGTGCGCACTGGGAACAGGCTCCCTTTGTTCTGCTGCCTCACTGCTGCCAGACTTCAAAGGCTCCGAAGGCAGCACCCCGCTCCCAGATGGCCCTGGGCCCATTTCTGCATCGGACACAGGACCCTTGTCTGAGTCCTCTCCAGACTCCCAGACTAGCCCCCGTTCTTTCCCACTGTCCTATTCCACCGCTGTCTTGCACAGGCTGCCGGTGAATCACAACACATACTTGGCTGAATAAATCAAGTTTATTCAGCCACTACACATCCATAGCAACTGTCTTCAGGTGGCATTTTGTGTGTCTATGTCTAGTCTCAAGGGCTGCAGAGAGGTTGTTTGGTAACAGAGGAAAGCTACAGAACAGGGGTAGGGAAAGGAGGATATATATGGTCCAACTTCCCAACATGACATTGTCCGGTTGTATAAGAACTGCAGCTCTTAGGCCTCTGGCAGGGGGGGGGGGAGGGGGGGGGAGGGGGATAGATCGTTCTGATTATGGCAACCTGGCTGGAATTTTTATTTTCGGACAGAGACTGGGGGATTTTTCAGGCCAGGCCGACCCATTCTGCTCTGATATTGCAGAACCTGAAGGCTGCAGAATTCTCTGCATTAAACAAATAACTTGAGTTTACGCAAGACACTAAAGAAAAAGAAGGATTTGGCTTGCCTGAATGGGAGTTATATTATTATGCGGCAATTTATTAGAATACAAACTTGAGGAAGAACATGTAAAAGAAACAATGGTGGCATGGGCAAAAAAATTCAGTTATAATATTGAATTGGCTAAATGGCAAAAGCTTTGGACCATCAATAAGAAAATAGCTTTGGCCACATCATACAAGGAAAACCTTTATAAGATGTTTTACAGGTGGCATCTTCCACCAGCAAGGCTTTCCAAACTGTTGAAAAGTCTATCTCCAAATTGTTGGAAGTGCAAAGATGTGTCAGGCACATTTTTTCACATTTTTTCACTTTTTTTGCAATGCTGCAAAAAAAGGTATTGGAGACTGATCCAGACATCGGTGGAACAAACGGTGAGAGAGTGTATTCCATTTAAGCTGGATTTTTTTCTCCTAGGAATAATACCCGAAGGATACAGGAAGGATTTAATTTCTCTAACAGTACATGTGTTGACAGTGGCTAGAATAATATATGTGCAATACTGGAAGAAGGAAAGCATTCCGCCAGCAACAGAGATAATAAAGAAAATTATGGCCTGTGCAGAATCGGACAGGTTAACTCTAAAATTAAAAAACAAGGGGGAATCTGAGTCCTATGAAATGTGGAATAAAATCAGTCAGTGGTTGCATAGAAGAAGGCAAGTTCGGAACATAAGTAGCTATGATGATTAGAATAATGAGTAAGCAATGTATCAAACAAGAGGATTGTAAATGGTGAAGTAAAATTTATATATGTATAACAACAACTGTAATGGTAGAATGGCTGAGCCGTGTTGTATTCTTATAATTAAAATTAAAATAAAATAAAATAACTTGAGTTCATGCAAAAACAATTCTTACCTCCCCCAGGATGATCGTTTCTGTAAAAAGTGAAAGGGACACGTTTCCATCGCATGGCTAATGGTGTCACTATACCCTAAGAAAGGTATTTTCGATCTATCAAGAACAAGAAAAGTAGTTATTTCTCTTCCAATTGGGGGTGGGTGGGAAAAGACCGAGTTGTTTGTTTGCTGCTGCAATTTTTCAGAGACTCTGAGCAGCTCACAGGATTGATATAAAAAGATTAAAAGCAAAAATGTACGTAGTAAGAGGGAGAAGTCTGGTTAGTACCAATAGGGGAGAGACATCATTGGGAAAATCTCTGAACAGAATATTATCCAGCAAGATCCCTCCCAGACTTTATTCAAGGCAGAGCAGATAGTCCCAGAAATAAGTTGCAGATAGTTTTCAAGGGCTGCCCCTTGTTCACCAAGTTTCAGTCATCCAGATGTAAGGTTACAAACTATGAGTAAAGTCTCTTGATCCAAGGATGTCTGGTACTGGCACACAAGGTGGAAAGGACACGAAGGGTCTCTTAGCTATGGCTTTCCATCTGCTGTTTTGCAGGAGCCTTAAGTGCAGAAGAAGCTCCAGGTTGCAGGTCAGCTCTACGTGGAGAAGAACTATGCCATCCAGAAGGATAATTGCTCCTCCCTCTTTGAGGGAGATGGACAATTCAAAAATAGGAGAAGAGAGGAGAGACAGACAGATAGGTTTGGGTAGGAGATAGATAGATAGATAGATAGATAGATAGATAGATAGATAGATAGATAGATAGATAGATAGATAGATAGATGGATGGATGGATGGATGGATGGATGGATGGATGGATGGATGGATGGATGGATGGATGGATGGTGGATAGATAGATAGATAGATAGATAGATAGATAGATAGATAGATAGATAGATAGATTGATACACATCCACACACTATATAGTTGTGCTTTTAAAGTTGTAGCAACGTTTCGGCAGAATCTCATCTGCCATCATCAGGCTTCTGTATTGTGTTTGTCTGTGAGTCAGACTTTCACAGCTGGACGAACTGACTCACAGACGAACACAATACAGAAGCCTGATGATGGCAGATGAGATTCTGCCAAAATGTTGCTCCAACTTTAAAAGCACACCTATAATGACGTGGGAAAATACCCAAACAAAGCTGAATACCATACATGTAAGTACCCGCGAAAACTTAAGAAAACACACACACACACATATATATATGTATATATAATTACCTATGTATCTATCTATATCTACCTACCTACTTATCTACCTATCTTTGGGCACAAGTAGCTTCTGAATCCATAATTACCTGGTAAAATTCGCCCTAAGCCTGTTTCTCCCCATTCAGATCTCCATGCAATGGATGGAGTTTTATAAACAGGTATCATTAGCATATTAATGATACCACACTCCAGGCTGTCAGATGACCTCTTCCAATCCATTAAGAGAAAGAGAGAGGTGGAAGCTGGACAAAGTTAAGCCATTACTAAAGCGCTCAAGAAAATGCAAGCATCCTCCCAAGAGTAGACATAGCTTGATAGAAAAAGAAAAAAACAAAGTCCAGAAAAACATAACAGGTGTAATTCTCTAATTTACCAAGCTGGTAATCAGGAATTCCATACAAGTGAACTGGAGGGAAGGGGACAGACTCCTGAACTCCTTCTGCCAGCCTGCTTGGCTTCTGTATGAGCAAATCCCAGAGGGAAAAATATTTCCTCTTCTACAAGCCAGCACAGAAATATGGTGGGCACTTTGAGTCCATTAATCCACACGATAGCAAAGCAAAACAGTATAAAACAAAACAAACCCATAAATCCAACCTGCCAGTAGCTTATTTTTTCATAGAGGCTGCAAAGAAAGGGTCTATCCCTAAAGCTTGATATCCCACATAGAAATATAGGCCGGTAATATTTGGCGGGTTAATTTCCACGGCAGAAGCGACATCGACAAAATAAGATAGCTACATACTAACCTGACAGATAGATACTGGCTGCATCGTACCAAAATGTGCATGCAGTGAACTGATATAATTCCAATGAAGAGAAGACTGATTGGTCCAAGCTGCATGGGAGAAGGAACAAAGATTAGCAACAAATTTACAAAGGGTAATGTGCGTCCCCTTTCTGCAGTGATGAGAGAAAACAGATCTGGAAGATTTGCAAAGTATCCAGCTCTCAATGCCTTTGTCATCTTTGTAGGCTCCTAAAAATACAAAAGCTCTGGATTTAAATGTTTGTGTGAAGACCTGGGGTGTGGCACAAAGGCAACACAGTCAGCTAAGTAATAAGAGTCCCTTTATTATCTCCAATTTTGCCCTCAATGTTCAGGTTACCTTCTGGCTGGAGAAAAACTCTCCCAGGAACAGCCTTTGACTGCAGAAAAGTAAGTCCAAAACATGAGCAACACAAAATGTAAGCCAAACTGAAGTAATTAGTTTGGCAGGGCAGAAGCAAGAATTTCAGACTTGAAGGCACGGCAAAACTCACATGGTTGGGAAGATGCCAGGAACACAGATAAGTCACAACAACACAGGATAAAGTCACGTTTGCTCCCAGCAGCCTGCCGCCTGCCTTTCTTATCAACTGTCTTCCCAGCTGTGCCTAATGAAGGGAATCAGGTCCCTTTCTTCCCTCGTAAGCCATGCAACCCACATTGCTCTCTTCTCCGTTCCTCCCTGCGTGCCCTAGGATGAAGAGGGGGTGGGCCTGGGTCTTTCTCTTAACTCCCTCTCCCTTGTTCTATCTCTTCCCTGCTCTGCCCAGCCGGACTTTGCCCTTCCCCAGCCTCCTCTACATCCAAAGAAGCCACACTCCTATTCCCTGTCAGCTGTCTGGCTTCCTCCTCAGATTCAGACTCCAACAGGGGCATGACAGTTTGCATGGTGTTCCAATTCAGTATGGGATAGGAAAACTATAAATCTTGTCCCCAATTCTACCACTGTCTTACTGAGTGACTGTAACATTTGGTGTATTTTGTAGTTCCAGTGTAAAATACATTCAAGAAAACAAGTTTCAAGCTTGACCGCGATGTGGCATCTCAAATGACAGGTTCTGGACCTCAATATAAAGGACTTTGCACACAACAGATCAACAGTGATTTATGTCATTTGCATGTTAGTATTTTGCAATTAGCATTTAGTCTTACATATTGTCTCATAATGCTTTACAGCACTCTCTAGGTGGTTTACAATATCAGCATATTGGCTCCAACAATCTGGATCCTCATTTTACTGACCTCGGAAGGATGGAAGGCTTAGTCAACCTCGAGTTTGTCAAGATTGAACTCCAGACTGTGGGCAGAATTAGCCTGCAACACAGATACTCCTCAACTTACAAATCACCATTGGGTGTGGGTGGGTGATATGGTGACAATGAGAATCTTTACAAGGCTCAACTTAGATTTTTAATTGCTTGGGATTACGGTATGTGCTCTGTTTTCACCATTCAGAGTTTCACTTATGAATAAATATTTATTTAATAAATAAATATTTTTTTCCTAATGATCTACCCCCAATGAAATAAATAAAACCATATTCTGATTTCATATAATGGCCCAGTTCACAGAATATAGAAAGCTGGGTTCTTACAATATAGCAATAGCGCTTAAACTTATATACCACTTCATAGTGCTTTACAGCCCTCACTAAGTGGTTTGAGTCAGCCTATTGCCCCCAACAATCTGGGTCCTCATTTTACCCACCTTGGAAGGAATGGAAGGCTGACTCAACCTTGAGCCGGTGGGAATCAAATTGCTGACATGTTAAGCAGCTGGCAGTCAGCAGAAGTAGCCTGCAGTACTGCATTCTAACCACTGAACCACCACAGCTCTTAATATGCTGAATCTCCCACCATTTGCCTCACTTGTTATGCAAACTTGGCCATTTTGTGGCAGGCTTCAACAGTCAACTCTTAACAGCTTATTGTCCTCCATAGCTGGGATATGACTAAAACTTACCAGAATGCCTGCGTGTTTTATTGCAAGAGGAAGACCCAGAAGTCCTGTCCCAATGTTCCCTTTAAGGATGTGAGTGAGCGTTTGAACGAATCTGAAAATGTAAAGAAAAACACAAAATATCAGGGTGTGTGTGTATGTACGTGTGTGTGTGTGAATCATCTAGTCTTAAAGAAGTCTTGAAAAGGCCAAGAGGTTATTGTAAATACGTGGGAATGGAGTACATACGTAATGCCCTCCTGATCAAGGTGATATTTCTTCTCGGGCGGCAGTAAATCTGTATCATTCTCATATTCATCGTCTGAACTCTGGTCTTCTATTAAAGGCTTCATTACTTCCAGGTCTACTTTAAAACAAAACATTCTGTATTACTGAATATAGTACCTAAGAATATCTTCAGCACACCTTCAGTTTTCTTATGAGAACATTAATATAAGTCATCATTATAAAATCACTTCCCTGGTTAATTCTGCTTTGAAGTGCTGATTCCCAATCAAGTTTAATTCCTTTTGTATGAGTGCTGTGGGTTTTCCTTTTTTTATGTTCCCCTAAGGTCAACGAAGCAGTTGATTTTGGTTCGTAGAGTAACGGATGAAGTGGGAAACATCTATCATTTGCGGGATTTACAACATAAATCCAATTGATTTGAGATTCCCTAAATGTTAAAAGATAGTTTAAGGCAGAGGTCTCCAAACAGCATAGCTGGCTGGAGAATTCTGGGAGTTGAAGTCCACCAGTCTTAAAGTGGCCAAATTTGGGGACTCCTTGAGGAATAGTAACATGATTCCTTATTGAGGAATAGAGTTTGGGTTTGGGGAGGGGTTGGTTATGCCTTTGAATCACCCTTGATTCCAGGGCAGTGTGGGAAGATGGCTCCCACAGTTTTCTTATTCCAGTTTCTATTCTGGTGTCTTTAACTGTTACACCAAACTAACATTAAGGAAAGGTTTAGCCAGAATTATTTGTCAAGATTTGCACATCCAGGTAGTCCTTGACTTATGACTGGTTGCTTAACGACGGTTCAAAGTTATGATGGACCTTCCCGGGGCTAGTTACAACTTGGTTCGGAAGTTCTGGTAGCCAGCCCCTCCCCTTGGTCACATGATCACATTTCAGGCAATCAGTCCGCATTTACAATTGTTTGCCATATCCTGTGGTCACATGATCACAATTTACAAGATTTTAGCTTACAAACTAACGTTTACAGCAAAAATTTCCCAGCGCGAACAAGGGGTTCACTAAACAACTGTGGTGTTCACTTAACAACCAATGTAGCTCCCTTTTACGACTTTCAACCCTTCAGTAATTCGGAGTAGAGTTGGGGCGAATGGATGGAGCTGAGCGTTTACTGGCCGAATGCCCTTCCTAACACCACATGGAGTTCACAGCAGATATTTTTTTTATTTGTGCTTGAGGAGAGAGAAACATCTGCCGCTACCTAAGATTGAACTCTCAACCTTCTGAACAGGAGGCGATTAGCTTCATCGCTAGGCCACCACGCCGCTCTTAACAGCCACTGCAACAAAGCTACTAAAATTGGGTCATTCACATGGGTGACCCACTTCACGACTTAGGACCAAAACAAACAGGCCCCATTAGGGTCATAAATCAAGGACTATCTGTATTAATTATTTTACACCCACTATAATCAAAACAGATTCTTTGCAGTTTATAAGAAGAGCAACATGAAGCAAAGCGTGTGAATTGGAGCAGTCGCAGGTAAAACTAGCAAAATCAGTAATACCAAAAAAAAATAATCAATAATCACGATAAACAATCCTTCATTCCCCTTAACCCTCCAAATTAACTCCTTTTCTAATTTCCAATTAAGTTTATTCCATAACATAGCAGCTGCCATCAAAAAAGAAGCATGTAATTAAATGAAAATGCAGAATTGCTTCATTTTAAAAAAAAAACTTATTTTGCAGTTCAAAGTGATGGTGATTCTTTACAGAAATGCAGTTTTGGGGGAAGGGGTGGGAAATCCATTATATATGGAGCCTTTCTCCACCTCTTCAGGCATCTTCACTTATGGCAGGGGTGTCAAACTGGATTTCTTTGAGGGGCCAGATCAGCATTGTAGTTCTCCTCCACCGGCCGGCCAGGGTGGGGTGAGGAGCAGTGGTGGTATTCAAAAAAATTTAGTACCAGTTCTGTGAGCGTGGCTTGGTGGGCGTGGCGTGGCTTGGTGGGCGTGGCAAGGGAAGGATACTGTAAAATCTCCATTCCCTCCCCACCCCACTAACCTGCTTTCCAGCTCCGTTCTCCTGTGCAGGGCAACAAAAGAAGACCCAGCCGATCAGCTGGGACTTGGGAGGAAGAGAATAGATGGGGGTGGGTCCAGTCAGAGGTGGTATTTGCCGGTTCTCTTAACTACTCAAAATTTCCACTACCGGTTCTCCAGAGGGGCCCTGTGTCCTGTTTTGGCTGGCAAAGTACTGCAGGAAGCCAGATATGGGGCGTGGGGGACCACACACAGCCCCCCCCCCCCCCCCTTTGGCTGCCCCCCTCCCCCCCCCCCCCCCCCTTTTGAGGCACAATGGGCTGATCCTTTGCTATTTCCAGACCGGCCCTGCGGGCCAAATTTAAGCACCCTGCAGGACGTATCTGACCTGTGGGCCTTGAGTTTGACACCCCTGACTTATGGGATAGGAAAGAGGAAGAAACAGGAGAAATATCCATGAATTATATATGAGGGATATTTTTTTAATCAAAGATTCCCTCCAAAATCAGATATGGAAGATAAATTATTAATGCAGGAGAAATACGATGATTGCAAGCAATATAATCAACATCAGAAGCAGTTAAAAACAAGACTTTTTCCCCCCACGCAAAAACATTACAAATGCTTTTAATTCATATAGGTAGTCCTTGCCTAGCGAGCAAAATTGGGACCATCACTAAGCGACGTCGTCAAAAAGTGAGATATCACACGATGATGATGAACTTAAGGCCTCATGTCTGCTGCAGTTATTAAACAAGTCACCTGCAGTCGTTAAGCAAGGCATCCTGTGACTGCAGCTTGTGATTTTACTGCCAGTTTCTCCACTGACTCCGCTTGTTGGAAGCCAGCGGTGAAGTTCGAAAATGGGGATTGTGTGAACATGGGGTGCCAAGGTCTTCATAAAACCCCCACCAGATGCAAAGGACCCAAATGATGATCATGTGACGTTAAGTGCAAGGAATGGCCACAACTTTTATCTTTCTGGCGCTGTTCTAATTTCAAATCGTTGCTAAGCAGAGCAGCCGTTAAGCGAGGACTACCTGTATTTTTAGGGGATTAAAAAAATCCTAGAAACAGCAGCAGCTGGTGGAGAAGGAGGTTCAAAGGAACTTCAGAGTAGCATTTTAATGTATTGCAAGCCCCACCCTTCTCCTAATATGTGCTTTGCTACACCACATACGTGTCCCAGTGCCAAACTTTGTGACAACATAAGACTCCATCATTCTGTGAATCTTCTGTCCCTACAAATGTGGCACTCTAAAAAAATTAACTCCAATTAGATGAATGGAATTACAACGAGTTACAACGGTTCATTTAGTGACCGTTCAAAGTTACAATGGCACTGAAAAAAAGCAACTTATGGCCGTTTACAACTATTGCAGCCTCCCTATGGTCTCTTGATTTAATAGTCAAACCCTTGACAAATGACTCATTTATGACAGCTGCAGTGTCCCCAGGGGTCATGCGATTCCCACTTTGTGACCTTCTGACGAGCAGTCAATGGGGAGTCCTGATTCACTTAATCTGTTTCAGTAATTGTCAAGAATTTACCTCAGAACAATTCACTAAAATAAAAAAAGCCACTTGTAACATTTGTAGAATCTGTTGGGGAGAGAAGTGTAGTATATACTTTTATATATATTAACCTCTTCGTAGATAATGCCCATTTAAAAAAGAAAGTCTCCCTCAAGTGACATTCAATTCTTGATAACTTATAGACATTTCCATATAATTTCTTAACACCGTAAGAAAGTGGCTTTTAAAAAAAAAGAAATCCCCCTTACTTTTGGACAGAACTATGGAAAAAGATGCCTAAAATGTTCACATTTGTGCATGCATATAGCAGTTAGCATCTAGCTTACTTTTTTTTTTAAAAAAAAGCTTTTTTGTTTTGCCTTGATTCTTTCCTCTTTGTTTATTAGCTTTGGGTTCTTTTTCTTTGGTTCTGCAAAAATCATGATTTTTAAAAAAATCTCATTAAAAAAAAAGCTTATCCAATTTCTTTACCTCACAAAATCATAACTATATGACCTGCGGGAAACTAGGATTTTTGTATAAGAACCTCATTTAGCATTCTTTCAGGTGTTTGATTGTGTGGAATTAAGAAAGAAAATGATCTTAAATGAAAAGATTAGAAAAAACTCCTAATTATTAAGGTGAAAAAGATCATGCATTTCGAATCTGAAACATCTCGTTTTGAGGGTATGAACCATTTGAGTGTGAAACAGGTTTCAAGACTGAAGCATCTACATTGAAAATACCGTTTTGCATCCGAAATAGTTTCACACACTCCAGAAGCAGGATATTTTGAATTCAAAACAGTTCAACCCCAGCTGTTTCTCAGATCCTACTCCTAGCCATATACTCCTTATCCTTTGCCCTTTATACATCTCGATATTCAGAGGCATCTGTGAGAGGGTTTAAAAAAAAAAGGACACAATGGTAGTTGTTATATTGCCATGGAAGGTCCGTTCCTTTTATATACATTGAATATTACAGCAACCTAAGGTACCATCTTGTCTCTTTTAAGCCCCCTATGGATGATGGTGCCAACATCTCCTTCAGATCTCCCTGTTATTTTCTCAAGTTATTTCCCTCAAAACTAAATTAATATAGCATACATAAGTTGACCCTATGTTTTCTTCACCCCACATCATCCTTCTAATTCATTTCCTTCTAGACCAGGGGTGTCAAACTCAAGGCCCGTTGGCCACATACGGCCCGTGGGATGCTTTAAATCTAGGCCTGTGGGGCCATCCTGGAAATAGCAAAGGAGCAGCCCGCGGTGCCCTGTATTCGGCCTGGATGGCCTCCTGAAGCACTCTGCCAGTCCAAATGGGGCACGGCGCTGCCACATGCGCCCCCATGCCCCGTTTTGGCCAGCAAAGTGTTGCAGAAGACCGTTGAGGTTGAAAATGAGGTGGAGGGGCTTCACGCACCTCTCCGTGGCCCATTTTGGCCAGTAGAGTGCTGCAGGAGGCATCTGTCCCGTCCCTCCCACGGCCGACCCACGGACAACTACAATGCTGATCCGGCCCTCAAGGAAATCCAGTTTGACACCCTTGTTCTAGACTTAACACATAAACTCGGTAGAGTATTTCTCATCAGCACCTGTGAACATCACATGTTAAGGGGACATCTCCTCGCCATAAGGAGAAGTCAGACCCTTACATACAATAGGACTTGGTCACACAGTGGTGCTTCTATGGTTACCAGCTCTGAATGCAAAAAGTCCTCACCCACTCTAGACAGGGGGCGGGGCTTGATGGAACATGGCAGACAAGGGGGTGGAGCTTGATGGAATCTTCTGTTTACTGGCCACAATCCTGAAAGGAGAGTTTTTATTGGTTGGCAACTGAGCTGCTCTGCTCCAGAAGACCAAGCCTGTAAAATACAAAAAACGGATATACTCAAGCAATGGAGTATGTAGAAGGGAGACTCATCCCACATCCCTGGATTCATTCAACAAGCTAAGCCACAATGTAGGATTTCTGTGTGTTTATGTGGTGACCCGGGACGTGGCACAAAAGTAGCCACAGCCAAAGGACAGATCTAACTCCCTTTTATTACTTCAACTTTGCCCCCAAATGTCCCAACGTTTACTACAAGTCCTGAAACAAAGCTCTCACGTGCCCCTTCAACAGCCTCTGACTGCGAGTAGTCCAGTAAGTAAGGTGAGCAAAACAGTAACCAGAGCAAGAAGTTGAGCGAAGAAGGCAAACCAGGCAAGTCCAAGGCAGAGTACAGTTCCACAGATTCAACACTTGTTCCTGACAAATGCCCCTCCCACTGGCAACTCCTTACATCTCAGGCCCCAGGTGTGCCTTATAAAGGGAGCAGGATCAGTCTGCGTTGTTCTCACCCCCCTCTCTTCTCTCCGTGCTCTGGGATCAGGAGGGGGTGGTCCATGCTCATCGCCTGAGCTCTGTCTCTCCTGCTCCTCCCTGTCTGCAAGCCTTTCTAATCTTAACAAGTCTTGCCCGGACTGGCCCTGCCCTTCCCCTGTTTCCTCCAAAGCCAAGAGAGCTGCCGCCCCCTAGATCTCTGTCGGCTCCTGTTCCAGCTCATCTTCCCCTGCAGTTTCAGGCTCCGACGGGGGACATGACAGTTTGGCTTAAACCAGTTTCTATGGAGATTCTCAATCATCCAGGTCAAACTTTCCAGCTTTGCGGACTGGCGGTGGGGGAAGAGAGGGAATGGTTCCAAGTAAGTGGCAGGTGAGCACACATGTGCATGCAGCGCTATTTGCACAAGTGACATGCATGCTTGCCCACTCGCTGTGTGCAGAAGTGCTTCTGCGGCCTGGTTCTGAAAGGGCCACGGGGCCACGTCCCACTGGGGGTTGTGGACCCCTGATCCAGGTCATGGTTGTCCTAAAGGTACTTTTTCCAAAATACAACTGGAGTTTCTTGGGTTTTTTTTTTTCCTTTGAAAATGTTTCGCTTCTCATCCAAGAAGCTTCTTCAGTTCTTGAGTTCTGAAGAAACTTCTTGGATGAGAAGCGAAACATTTTCAAAGGAAAAAGAAAACACTAAGAAACTCACATTGCCTTTTGGAAGAAGCACCTTTGGGATGGCTTAAACCAGTGTTTCTCAACCCCGGAATTTTTTAAAGACGTATGGACTTCAACTCCCAGAATTCCCTGGAATTCTATCAACCGAAGTCTATACATCTCAAAACACTGGCTTAGCTGATTTTGTGGGGCCTAGAATATAAACCATGATTGGTGGCTCAATGTATTGTGCAAAGGTAGCCAACTGTGGTTTAATAAATCACATTCAAGCAAACTACGGCTTAACACTGTGGAAGAACATTGACTTCTCTGGTCAATACAATTGCAAGCTGCTAAGATTCAGGAACTCAAAAGCATCCTTAGCTTACTCATGTTCTCTGGAAAGTTACCTGGGCTATTTTTTTTTTAAAAAAAACGAAAGTCTTGTGGCAGTGTGTGTGTGTGTGTTTCTTGTTGTTCTTGTGGCAACATAATAAAACAGTGCGCTCCAACTTAAAACCTAAAAAAAGGTACATAAAAACAATAATATGTAACCTGGGTGTCAGGACAGAAAGCTACTCCTGAGAGTAATAATTTAATTGTAAGTTTTGAAAATAGGCCAGTAGGGATAAAAGTGCTCAGGAAATGCAGAGCTTGAAAACTGGTAATCTCCAAAACTGAGTCATTAAAAACAAAAACAAAAAAAACTTCTTATCTCTCGGGCTGAACCAGATATCTCCACAGAGGTTGTAAAGGAGTATATTGGTAGCAATTACACAAAGGCATGAAAAACCAAAACAGATGAAATTTCCAGTAGAGAAGGATGACCACAGAGATAGCAGTGGAAAAATCTGGAAGGACGGAAGATTACACATACGTGTCATTTATACAAATTCCCCAACTGGTTCAACAAGTAAACGCAGTTACTAAACCAGTGATCAGGTACTGATCCTTAGTCATCACAATCCGTACGTTTAACATCGCATACTTAACAGAAATCGAACACTTCTAAAGACAGATTCTGAAAGGAACATCTGATAATTGCAGAAATCAACACTGATAATTATTTGATCGAATATATGTGATTTCCAGTTCTGCTCTCCACCTGGTTTGCTATTACTCCTGGTGGTACTGAAGACTTGGGATGCTGACTTGTCTAGATCAGATATTCATTTCGTGACTGTTCAAAGTTACAAAGGCATTGAAAACAGTGATTTATAACTGGTCCTTGCACTTATGACTGTTGCAGGATCCTCAAGTCATATGATAAAAATTTGGGCACTTGGGAACTGGGAACTGGCCCAGTGGTTAGAGTGCAGTACTGCAAGCTACACCTACTGCAATTTGGCAGATTGAATCCTACCAGGCTCAAGCATGACTCAGCCTTCCATCCTTCCGAGGTGGGTAAAATGAGGACCCAAAATTGTTGGGGGCGATATGCTGACTCTGTAAACCACTTTGAGAGGGCTATAAAGCACTGTAAAGCGGTATATATAAGTCTAAGTGCTATTACTGTTTAAGAACAGTTGCAGTGTCCTGGGGTCGTGGGATCAACCCTTGTGGCCTAGATTCGCTTCAGTATCCTGTGATTCATTTGATAAGGGCAGTGATTTGCTTAACAATAATGGCAAAACAAGTTGAAAAATTGGGTGCGGCTCACTTAACAATGAGCAGGAGAAACTAATAGGAGAAACAAGATCCTTGCTTAGCAAAGGAAATTCTGGACCCGATTGTCATAAACCAAGGACTACCTGTACCCTACTATTCTCCCATGCTGTTCAGCAGCTGCATAAAATATTTGAGGATTTTCATTCGGAGGCTTTGAGTGAGATGCTTATCATTATGCTGAATATCTTCTGGTCTTCTGGATTTTTTTAAAGCATCCAGCTCCAAAGTAGCTATCAGGATTCTCAAATGTTGCCTAAATGATATGATGAACTAGACGAGAGAGAACAAAATGAAGTGAAACACTGTTGGTCAATGTTTGTGAAGAAGCAATTGGCATGCATATCCGATTTATTTCTATTCTTCTGCTTTGGTCACATCAGCAGGTAGCAAACTAAGAACAGCAGTTTTCATAAAGCATCTGCACTCGTGATTATAAATCAGGATCTGCATGTTAATAACCCTTAGTTTAAAACTAGCTTATGATCTTGGCTTGTTTGGGAAGAATTAACCATTCATTGCTGCTTTACTAACTTCATTCTGGAGATCTATCTACGTGGTTTCTAAGGGTTGATGCTGACTTGAAGGCCTATATTCAATTGATTTTACTAACTGCATATTCATTATTTGTTGAAAAAGCGTTGAGCATTTTCCAGCTATTTTTCTCCTTTAAATTACAGGGATGTTTATTATTACAGTGCTTTTCAAGGGAATAATTTATGCTTAATTTGTTAGTAATTAAAATTCAGCCACGTAATTGTTCAGAAGCAAGCCAATACAAGTAGAACGAGTTTGCCAAAAATAAATCGTGTGAGACTAACTTCTTATCTTTCCAAGACAGAATGCCTATTTTAGTAGACCAAGGGAATTCTGTGGATGTAAGTGTTATTTGATCTCATTAACGTATTTAACAAGGCCTTCTATGATACCATAGTGGACAAGACAGATAACTGTGGGTTTGAGGATGCTAAAGCCTCCTGGATTTGAATTCGCTGAACTGCAGCCAAAAGGAGCTGATAAAACGGTTATGCATTTATCTGGAGCGAAACACCGAGTGGATTTATCCTGATTCCCTCCTCAGTCCAATGCCATTTTGCATCTTAACAGATGACCTAGAGTAGGGCTTCTTGGCCTTGGCAACTTTAAGACATGTCGACTTCAATACCCAGAATTCCCCTGCCAGTTTTTGAGGTATCGGTAATCTGCTGTCATTTTGCCCCTGAGGCAGGGGTCTTCAAACTTGACAGCTTTAAGACTTGTGGACTTCAACTCCCAGAATTCCTCCTCCAGTCATATTAGCTCAGGAATTCTGGGAGTTGAAGTCCACAGGTCTTAAACTTGCCATGTTTGAAGACCCTTGCCCTCAAGGCTTCTCTTTTGCAAGTGAAAAATGTCCACTTCATTGAACAATGTAAAAAACTGGCTTCCGGATACTTTACAGCTGTCACTGTAGCTTCTCCGTATCTCATTTGAAGAACTAAACGCAATATAGGTAGTCCTTGACTTACAACAGTTCATTTACCAAACGTTACAATGGCACTGAAAAAAGTGACTTATGACCGTTTTTCACACTTATGACAGTTGCAGCATCCCCATGGTCACATGATCAAAAGTCAGATAGCAATGGCAACAGCACTTAGACTTATATACCGCTTTGTAGTGCTTTACAGCCCTCTCTAAGCGGTTTACAGAGTCAGCACATTGCAGATGCTTGGCAACTGACTCATATTTATGACGGTTGCAGTGTCCTGGGAACATGCAATCATTTTTTGCAACCTTCTGATTGTTCTGACCAAGGCTTCCTGAGCCCATAATTAAGCACACATTTAGTTAAAACAACTCTTGTTTTATTTCAACGCTGGGAATTATGTTCATTCCCAGCCTGCAATGATTTCCAAACAGTCCCTCGAGATAAGCACCCACCTTTCTCTCCTTTGAATTGCTACCAAAAACAAAGGTGCCAAATGAACTATAAAAAACCCAAATGAAGTACAAAGTCCACACAGAGCTTCAAGGTTTAATCCGAACAGAGTGAATGACCTTGCTTCCTGCAAAGGTTTCTCTACCTTTGCACCTCCTTTATACCATATGGGAGGGGCAATCACCTCCAAGCCTTACTCCCGAGTTGCCCTTTTTCTCAGCTGCTCTTGCCTTCTAGCAGCTCTGCGCACATGCACACTGGGAACAGGCTCCCCTTGTTCCTCTACCTCACTATTGCCAGACTCCCGAGGCTCCGGAGTCAGCACACCACTCCCAGATAGTCCTGGCCCCATCTCTACATCGGACGCAGGACCCTCATCTGAGTCCTTTCCAGTCTCCCGGACTGGTCCTCGTTCTTCCCCACTGTCCGATTCCGCTGCCATCTGCGCAGGCTGCCGGCAAACCACAACACTGACAAGCCAAGTCAATGGGAAAGCCAGACTGACTTCACAACCATGTTACTAACAACTGCACTTGTTCATTTAACAAGGCCATAAAATGGGAGAAAAACTCCCTTAAAAAGGGTCTCACTTAGTGTAAGAAACTGATGGAGATAATGTTGTTTTTGCAAAGAAAGCCATTTTTAAGAGTTGTGGGTATATAAAAGTTCAGTAGGACATTGGGACATTAACAGTAAAAAGTTCAAGACTGGAAAACAGGAAAAAACGGTTATTCCGTTAAGTGAGTCAGTTTGGTCAAGCAGATTAGTTAACAGTTTTAACTACACAGTCTAATAATATAGTGGAGATATGAATCGCTTGCCTCGACTTATGATGCTTATGCTGCAAGGATTGTAAGGAAACAAGAAATATAGATTAAGAAATTGTTTTTAAAAGGGGACAAAAGGTAGTATGAAAAAAGGGGAACTGTGCAAAAAGTGGGGAAACAGATTAAGAATGGGGAAATTCATGGAGAAACAGGCGTTCCGGTAAGATTGCAACCCTGTGGTTTTTGTCGAAGGGGGCTGCAGGGAGGGATTTGTGGTTTGGGCGGAAGGAATAAAAAGTTGGAGAAATGTATTCCTCGGTGTGTCCACCTATCAGCCACCCACTCTTGCAAGAATGTAGTTTACATGCAATAAGCTGCCTGCTGCTTCACTTTTATGACTCTGTCAAATTTCTGACTGTTGAGTCTGTTTCTCACGTTAGTAACAGAAATTTTGGGCTCAGCTGTGGCCATATGTCAAGGACTCCCTGTACTCTGTGAAAATGGGAGTAATCAGCGCAGAGAAAATGGAACAATTATTTTGCACTGGGCTTCTAGGAGTGCAGCCCAAGATCACATTAAGATGCTGGATCAAGGGATCCTGCAGTTGGTTGGATCACTCGTGTCAGGGCTCCAACAAATCTACCCTCATTCAAATCTAGCCGCACCACAGAGAAAAGTAAATTGATTTATTAGGAGTGGCCATGTTGGCCTAAGCTGGATGCAGCCAATACTAAATTACATCATACATTTCCCCCTTGACCCTGGTCTTTCCCCCACCCCCTGGATGTGACTTCTCCAATGGGACACATCCATCTCCAGGAGTCATCCATCATGCTCTCCAATAACCTTCTTATGCTCCGACCATTTTGGGCTACCGGAGTGATTAGGCATTTCAAGAATGCCTTGTTTTCCCCCACTCTCTTTTTCTGGCAACTAAAAAGAACAAAGGAGTAGAATAGAATTCTTTATTGGCCAAGTGTGATTGACACACAAGGAATTTGTCTTGGTGTAAATACTCTCAGTATACATAAAAGAAAAGATACACTCATTAAGAATCAAGAATCATAATGTACAATACTTAACGATGGTCCTAGGATACAATAAGCAATCAAATCATACTAGGAAACAGTCAATATAAATCGTAAGGATACAAGCGACAAAGTTACAGTCCTACAATCACAAGTGGCAGGGGATGGGTGATAAGGAGTGATGAGAAGATTAACAGTAATAGTAGTGCAGACTTTGTAATAGTTGAACAGTGTTGAGGGAATTATTTGTTTAGCAGAATGATGGCTTTCGGGAAAAAACTGTTCTTGTGTCTAGTTGTTCTGGTGTGCAGTGCTCTATAGCGCCGTTTTGAGGGAAGGAATTGAAACAGTTTATGTCGGGATGTGAAGGGTCTGTAAATATTTTCACAGCCCTCTTTTTGATTCATGCAGTATGCAGGTCCTCGATTGAAGGCAGGTGGGTAGCAATTGTTTTTTTCTGCAGTCTTAATTATCCTCTTAAGTCTGTGTCTGTCCTGTTGGATTGCAGAGCCAAACAGACAGTTATAGAGGTGCAGATGACAGACTCAATAATTCCTCTATAGAACTGTATCAGCAGCTCCTTGGGCTTTCTGAGTTAGTTGACAAGTAGTATTTCCAGATTCTTCTCACATGCACAATCCCAATGCTCTCAAACTACTTATATGTTTAATTTTATTTACTCAGGTATAGGAGCTGTCACATGGTCATCACGGAACTTTATCCTGTTGGATGTAGACCCAATGTGAGGTCATTCTGAATCCTGATCTCTACAGTGAAAGCCAATTCCTCTAGTCTGGTATAACTATGATAAGCATCTCTTCCGCTCCCTATTCTAGATCAGGGTTTCCTAAACTTGGAAGACAGAGAAGCCCTATTCTCTATTGAAAACAAGGACAGTAGTCCTCAACTTACAACAGTTCATTTAGTGACCATTCGAAGTCACAATGGCCCTGAAAAATGTGACTTATGACCGTTTTTCACAGTTACCACCTTTGTAGCATCCGCATGATCATGTGGCCGACATTCAGAGGTTTGGCAACTGATTCATATTTATGACGGTCACAGTGTCCCAGGATTATGTGATCTCTTTTCGTGACCTTCTGGCAAACAAAGTCAATGGGGAAGTCAGATTCACTGGATAACCAGACTCCTAACTTATCAACTGCAGTGATTCACTTAACAACGGTGACAAGACAAAACGGGGCAAAACTCACTTAAACAAATTGTCTCATTTAACAACAGAAATTTTGAGCTCAACGGTGGTCATAAGACGAGGACTACTGTACTTTGAAATGGAAAAAGAAAGGAGAGACATGGTGAATAGTAGGAAGCAATGGCAAACAGTTTTTGCCTTGATGCCAAAAAAAAAAAAAACCAGTTCATGAAGTTGCAAGGAATCCTGCTCAACTCAGCCTTTGCTTTTTAAAATACATACCCAGACAATAATGATTAAAGAAAGGGGATTTAGCACTATCAAAAAGCACTACATAGCTGGACTTTGTGGGTTGGCTACCAAGGAAAATATTTTTACTTTTCAGCTGCCTCTTACAAAATTTTCCAAACCTCTGGGGGATGACATCTTTCCATTAAATGCTTGTATTTTTCCACTGAATCCTTCATGAGCCAATAAAATAAATAACCAGGGAAAAAGCCACAGTTGTGTGTGTGGGGGGGGGGGGGCAGAAGAGTACTGCAAACTTGTTTCTAATGACACCACTCACACAATATTTTGCCTGTACAATTGGGGCACTCTCCCTCGTTTTCAAGAGATCATGTTTTGCCCGTGTAAATACCCTTAATTTAGGATATGCTACAAGAAGAAGAAAAAACTAAGGAAGGGGGAGGAATGTTAAGTCACTTCCTTCAATCTTTTCCGGGATTGTAAAAGATAGGAGAATCGATGGAGTTTAACAAGCTAACAGAGTTGGAAAGGGCTTTGTAGGTCATCTAGTCCAACCCCGCCTCCCAAGCAGGAGACCTTATACTATTTCTGACAGATAGCAGTCCAGTCCCTTCTTGAAAGCCTCCGGAATGAAGCTCTCACAACTTCCAAAGGCAAGCTGTTCCATACGTTGATCGTTCTCACGGTCAGAAAATTTCTCCTTTTTTCCAGGTTAAATCTCTCCTTGTTCCATCCATCTTGTTTCCATCCATTATTCCTTGTCTGGCCTTCGGGTGCTTTAGAAAATAGCTTGAGCCCTTCCTCTCTGTGGCAGCCCCTCAAATTAGTCCTTCTCTTTACTAGACTAGCCAGGCCAGTTCCTGTAACCGTTCTTCATACGTTTTAGGCTCCCGTCCTCTCATCATCTTGGTTGCTCTTCTCCATTGCACGGAGACCTGAGCCTCGTCTGAAAGCGGTGCCCAAAGTTTCGCACCGGGCACACTTTGCAAAGATGGATCTGCAAACCATCTTTGCAAGCCCGATTCGTCCGCCAGGATGCTTTTTTTTTTTTTTTTTGGCAAACCCTGGGCTGCAATAACCTCACGGGGGAACCCCCAAACCCCAGATAAGGGAGTGAAAAATAAATTTAAAAAACAAATAAAGCTCTCCTCGTTTTTTTTCTGGACCCACCGACCGCTCCCCACCTCCACGTCCAGCATCCCCCTCCCCACCCGCCCCCACTCGCGAGAATCCCTTTGCCAAGTACGGTACCTAATTCTTCTCTGGCCGGCGTCCCCATCGCGCCGTCTCTATGGTACCTTCCTCTCCTTTCCGCCAATGTGGAGCCCGAGCGCCAAAAGAACAACTGCGCCTGCGCGGCTCAAGGATGCCCGACCCTTGCTGCTAGCTGTACAGTACTGTACAGTGTCGCGTACTGTAACCCTCGCCTTCGATATCATAGATACGCTAAGTGCTAGAAGGGCAGAGGAGGTGGCTAATCATCCCATCTAGGGCCTTTTAACAGGGGGAGGATCATGGGACTTCCAGCATATCTGGGAGCCTCAAGTTGGGGTGTGTCTTCTTTTGGGGGGGAGGGGGGCTGCTAAATCGAGTCCACCGCTTGAGGGCAGCAGGGAGATAGAGAAATTTGTAGTCTTCATAAAGGCAATTGTATTCTTCATACAGACAAAAAAAAATACATTTTTAGGACAGAGATTCACACAAATTATAATTCAATTTGACTTGGGTGTAGTAGGATGTGCAGACCTAGCCATCTTAGTTTGTTATGGTTTTCCATTCTGTGCAATTTTATTCTTGTGTAAACTACAGTTCAGGGAATAATCGTTTGGTACAAAAAAGCTTAACCAACTTCTGAGTTTTCTCTTTGAGGAAAGATCTACAACTCACACAGCCAATTCTTCCAGATAATTTAAACTTGCATCCATATGTCAAAACATGGTTTCTCTTTCCTGCTTACAAACTAAAAAAACACATTATCTACTTTCCTTTCTTCAGAATACAAGTTGAAAAAACAACAACAGTCCAGCTCAATTCTTGTCATGCTATGTTGAGTGTCTTACAATACTGGCCTACACATTATTTATACACTGTCCATCCAAACAACAGACAAGATAATTAAAATATTGACTGTGCCAAAGTAAAACTCATAATATTAACATTCTTATGTGTATAAGATTAGAGTGTCAGGGAAGAGTCTTATCACTGGAGTATTACTTTATTTAGCATTTAATCCTGAAATTCCTTAGCCTACCAAAGTAAAAAAAAAAAAAGTTGTCAATTAGCAACATACCAGTTATCACCTTGGATTTGAATACACCAGATTTCTGTAGCCAATGACCTCCAATTTCCAACTCTAGAATGAATGAGACTCTAGAAAATGTGCAGAGAAGAGCAACAAAGATGATTAGGGGACTGGAGACTAAAATATATCAAGAACGGTTATAGGAACTGGGCATGGCTAGTCTAGTGAAGAGAAGGACCAGGGGAAACATGATAGCAGTCTTCCAATATCTATGGGGCTGCCACAGAGAGGAGGGGGGGGTGTCAAGCTATTTTCCAAGGCACCTGAAGGTCAGACAAGAAATAATGGATGGAAAATGAACAAGGAGAGATTCAACCTAGAAATAAGGAGGAATTTTCTCACAGTGAGAACAATCAACCCATGAAACAGAAGTTGCCTTCAGAAGTTGTGGGACCTTCATCACTGGAGGCTTTCAAGAAGAGATTGGATTGTCATTTGTCAAAAATGATGTAGGGTCTCCTGCTTGGGCAGGGGGTTGGACTAGATGACCTACAAGGTCCCTTCCAACCCTGTTAATCTGAACTCCCATAATGCCCCTCACATTTATTCCTCACTCCTGTAATCTGGGGCCAGTAACACTGAGACAGATATTTGTCCAGTATGGTTTAGGATCTCCTACTCCTACGGGCAGGAGGATGGACTAGAAGACCTCCAGGGCCCCTTCCAGCCCAATTATTCTATGTTCTATGTTCCTTTCAAGGTTAACGAAAGGATTACAGTTAGATGTGTACACAACGCTGTGTTACCAATCAAACAAGAACTTTTTGAAAAGCCAGTAGAAGAGTTAAGTGTATAGCTAGAATATAAGAGGCTAAATATCAAAACTTCGCCCAGACCTGTATTTGTAGAAGGCATTTACTTAATTGTGGGAAGAGGTGAATTGTGGTTTATCCAGCTCTACAGGTAATCCTGCACTTATGACCACAATTGAGCCAAAATTTTCCACTGCAAAGCGAGACGGTTGTTAAGTGAGTTTTGCCCAATTTTGCAACCTTTCTTGACACAGTGCTTAAGTGAATCACTGCAATTGTTAAGTTAGGAACGTGGTTGTTAGACGAATCCTCATTGACTTTGCTTGTCAGTTCACAAAAGGTGATGATCACATGGCCCCAGGACTGTGCAATCATCATAAATACAAGACAGTTGCCAAGTGTGTGAATTTTGATCACATGACCCTGGGGATGCTGCAATGGTTGTGTGAAAAACAGTCATAAGTCCCTTCTTTCAGTGCCGTTGGAACTTCCAATGGTCCCTAAATGAATGTTTATAAATCGAGGGCTGCCTATATTTTCTAGATTCCCATGATACATTGAACTATAACTTAACTTTGTGGACTGGATGCGTACAGACTGCTGGACTAAAACATAGCTGGGTTAGTTAGCCGGTAGCTCAGCGTAGTACTTAAATATAGTCAGCCAAGAACTTAATCCTTGGATAGCTGTGGGCTGTTTCCATGGCTACCCTCCCACATAGCATGATTGAGAGTAAAAGGTGGGTGGAAAAAAGCCTTTATCTTCAAGAGGTTCGTGATGGTGTGCAATTAAAATGATAATTACACCTCATCCCATGTTTAGAATGCTGGGAAAATTCCTGTGCAATGCCCAGTTTTCTCACCTGATCAGTGTTGGGTTCAACCCCAGCTGAAACAATAGCAATAGCACTTAGACTTATATACCGCTTCATAGTGCTTTGCAGCAGTGGTGGGATTCAATTTTTTTTTACTACCGTTTCTGTGGGTGTGGCTTGGTTGGCTTGGCTTGGTTTGGTGGGTGTGGCTTGGTGGGCATGGCAAGGGAAGGATACTGCAAAATCCCCATTCCCTCCCCACCCCACTAACCTGCTTTCCAGCTCCGTTCTCCTGTGCAGGGCAACCAAAGAAGACCCAGCCAATCAGCTGGGACTTGGGAGGCGGAGAATAGATGGGGGCAGGGCCAGTCAGAGGTGGGATTTGCCAGTTCTCCAAACTACTCAAAATTTCCGCTACCGGTTCCCCAGAACTGGTCAGTACCTGATGAATACCACCTCTGCTTTGCAGCCAGGGTTGGGCTGCTAGGGGTTCGCAGGGGTTCAGGAGAACTCCCAGCTAAAATTGTGTGCAGTTCGGAGAACCCCTAAATCCCACTCCCGGCTGGCCACACCCACCCTGTCCTCCCCAGGAGTCCCCACATGGCCCGTTTTGGATGCAGGTAAGTGCAGGGCGTGCACAGAGGCTCGGGGAGGGTGAAAAACGGGCCTCAGGAAGTCTGGAAATGGCCCCCTTTCTGGCTTCAAGAGAGCCTCCGGAGCCTGAGGAGGCCATTTTCGTCCTCCCAGAGCCCCGAGGAAAGCCTCCCGAGCCCGGGAGGGCAAAATATGCCCCCCCACCATGGTGCAGAGGCTGACTAGGCCACGCCCACAATGGCCACAGCCACCCAGCAACTGGGCAGAGAACCCTTTGCTAAAAATTTCGAAGCCCATCCCTGTTTGCACCCCTCTCTAAGCATTTTATAGAGTCACTAAATTGCCTCCCACAATCTGGGTCCTCATTTTACTTGACCTCGGAAGGATGGAAGGCCGAGTCAACCTTAAGCCAGTCAGGATCGAACGGCTGACAGCCGGCAGTCAGCAAAATTAGCCTGGAATACTGCATTCTAACCGCTGTGCCACAACAGCTCATAAACGAGCCCTGAACACGTGCATTTGTCACACTGGTGTGTGTGCAAATATGTGCCTGCCTGAAGCCACACGCCAAAAATCATTAATTGAATGAAGAACTCCTCGTTACAGGTAATACTCAACTTATGCCCACAATTGGGATCAGAATTTCTGTCGCTAAGCAAGGCGGTTGTTGAGTGAGCCACACCCGATTTTACAACCTTGTTAAGAAAATACAGTGAAGCCAGGGATCTCCAACCCCAGACTGTGTCCCAGTACTGGAGCGCAGCGGCCACTTTGAAACTGGGCCACTTGAGCAATGGGCAAGCATGTGTAAATCAAAAGGACCATGAGGCTGCTAGAATGGTCATAAGAGTGAAAAACGATCACAAGTCACTTTTTTCAGTGCTGCTCAGTGTTGCACAGTCACTAAATGAAAGGACTACCTGTATAGCGATATCTAGGTTTGGAATGGGGAAACAAGGCGAAACAACAAAAAAAGAAATAGAATAACTGCAAAACTTTAGACATTAGAGTTTTCTGTATCTCTTTTCGGGTCTAGTTCGGGTTGGATCTAAAAATAAAGGAACAAAAGTGGATGAAGACAAGGTGGGAAAAAGACAGGGAATTAAAGAAAGGTGAGCGAGTTTTACGCTAAAGAAGTGACTTTTCCAAAGCAGAAGCTAATCTTCAAAGCCAGAGGCAATGTCATTATTTGTTCTTCCTCTCCATTAAATCCTGCCAATGTCTATAAGCACACAAAGTTCATTGTGTTCTCGAGGCAAACAAACCAGGCTTCTCAAATATCAACATTTACAATTCTACGCTCATCAACGGCTGTAGCAGGTAATAATGTTATGGCTTGGTTTTAAGTTTCCTTAACCGTTTTTTAAATCGGCGATAAGACTTACATATCAGCTTCAGGACAGAATCACAGGTGCTTGACATTCTTTCAGCACATAACAGGGAGAGACTAGTAGTCCTCCACTTACGACCGCAATTGAGCCCAAAATTTCTGTTGCAAATGGGAGACATTTGTTAAGTGAGTTTTGCCCCATTTTACAACCTGGCTTGCCACCGTTGTTCAGTGAATCACTCCAGTTGTCAAAGTTGGTGACATGGTTGCTAAGTGAAACTGGCTTCCCCATGGACATTGCCAGTCAGAAAGTCGCAAAAGATTATTACATGAACAACAGCAACCATCATAAATATGAGTCAGTGTTTGAATTTTGGTCACGTCACTGTGGAGAATGCTTGTTAAGTGTGAAAAATGGCCATAAGTCGCTTTTTTCAGGACCGTTGTAACTTTTGAACAGTTGTTAAATGAACTGTTGTAAGTTCCTGTACTTATCTATAGCAGCAGAACAGAAATAGAAAGTAGGACACCAGGAATTCCTTCTCTATTCTGCACCATTAAAGAAACAATTGGGTGGACAGAGATGATGTATACAACAAA